TATTATATTATTTATTTATTATTTTTTATATTATTCTATATAAATAATTATATATTATTATAAGATTTTTTATGTAATATAGCCAATATCTTATTTCTGATGTAGTACCTCTGCCGATCGATTATAGTCCTTCAATAGAGGAGAGCAAAGGTCTTATTTCATATAAGAGAATGGCTACAAAGGACTCTAAGATGAATAGACTACTGGCAATTATAAAGAGAATATTAAAATTTACCTTTTTATTAGAAAAAAATAAAGATTTACAAAGATAATAGCGATGAAACTCTTGATTGGTGGAGTAAATATTTTGCTTCTCTTCAGGTTTGTAAAATTTAAATAAAAATAATTTTAGCGAAACTTTTGCAAAAAATTTGTTAATATTGATAAGAGATATTATTAATTATAATCTTTAAGATATCTATTTTCTTAAGTTTTTACAACTTGAGAATTTTCTCAATCTCTGAGAATTTAAGATATCAAATTAAATTCTAAATTACTTAGTATTTAGCTTACCTAGATACTTAGCAATGTAATTGCTTGGATCTAGCTGTGCAGTAGCTTAAATGCTTAGGTAGTTAATTGTTTAAACATTTAACAATCACTAGTTTATATGATTTGCAATTAAATAATTTAGATATTAATTTGTTTTCTTTTTTTTTACTTTTTCACGATTTTATCTGTTGCAGTCTACGTCGCGAAAGAAAAACTTTAAGATTTACGAGTTTTTAGATTTTCCACTTTTCTATATTCTTAATGTTTTGAATCTTCAAGCTTTCTAAAATTTTTCTCAATTCAGCTCGATTTCACGTAAATCGCGTCCCTGATAAATGAACCAATTTCGATCAAAATCATGTAGACGAGTCTTGATTGAGCCAATCCGCTGAGACATTCGATAAGGCAAATTAGCGAGTTTTGTTGGATCCACAGGAAGAGAGAAATAAAGAATTGGGAATCACGACAGCGTTTCGCTATAAACCCGTGACGACGTTCAAGGTATTTTTTAATGCATTTGCCCAAACTTGAGCGCTTAGACATTGAAATCAGATCTATTCCACGGAATTGGAGATGCAGCCGCAATTCGAGGGCTTTCAAGATCGACTCCGTACTTTTGAATTGTGGCACGGAAGAAAGGGTGAAACTTTCGAGCAAGTTGGAGATAATTACGCTGGCAAATTCAAGGTTGTTTTAAAAAATTATCTTTAAAAAATAAAATTGATTTTATATTTGAAAGAGAGAGAGAGAGAGAGAGAGAGAGAGAGAGAGCTTTTGAACGTGAAAAAAATTTGTCTAATTTTTTCCAATCTACATTAGAATTAATTCGAATTAATTAAGATAAACATAAGCAAGAAATGTATGACATTTAAATAAACAATGTAGAATCATTAAATGCTTGGAGCATTTATTTTATTTATATTTATTGAATGTTATAAATTTAATTAATTTTTTTTAGGGATATATTTCTATATACCGATGGCCACATCCTGACAATCTCCCATGCAAAACGAGAAGCGGGAGAGACGCGGCTAATGGTCTGTGCAACGATTATCCGCCTCAAGAGCCTGTTAAGCTCCTCGTTAGACTCTACGTTATAAAGGGTTAGTCTTCATAATACACTATACCACATGCGACGAAAAAAGTGACTAATTGTAGAAATACTTTGCTCGTTTCGTTTTTATTATGATACGTTAACTCTGCCAGATTTTTCAAGAAAAAGTAAATTCAAAGTTACATATTGTTAAGATATTTATTTCTGAAAATCCCAAAGTGGTAGCAGATGGCTTGAGATTCAATTTTACACGAACAACGATTAATTTAATTTTGTCAAAGAAATTATAGGCAATAGCAAACAGCACGTAATGAAATTTTGTGAGACATTTTCTCTTTGTAAGCAACATTTTAATTTTTTTCTTGTTAAAAAAGAAAACCAAAGGGTGATTTACAGATGCTTTCTTATTTTATTTTATGGAATTTTTCGGTACACCTTATACTCCTCGGCTAAAAACTAAAAAGCTCGTCCACGGCAACGAGCCACCGAAGTAAATTTGCTTTTCGCGCAGGCATTAACTTACAGCCTAAGGATCCCCTCAGCGGCAAGTCAGACCCGTATCTCTACGTGAAGTTGGGAAAAAATTCTATCAGCGACAGGAAGAATTATATACCCAATCAATTGAACCCTACGTTTGGCCGGTAAGGTCAACAAAAAGCTGCCGTCTAGCTTCTTTCCAAGGCACATCGCGGCATGGTTACACCCTCGGGTATTATCGGGAAATATTTTATCGATATCCATCTGTGCATCCGTGCGTATCACCTTTTTGCAGCTTTCAGACTGTAAGGGTATTCTACCTATTCCACTGTAACAGCGTAGCACAGACAAGGATTAAAATTATTCTGATAACCAATATGTTTTTTTCCTTCCAAAAATGCAATATCTAAGAAATAAATTCAAATCCTCCATCGGCGGGACGATAAATGACATAAAATTTAATTCTTCAATATTATGTTATTTGTAATAAAAAAAAAAATAACCAATATATCTAGAAATACCTCAAAAAATAAGTCATGTTGAATATTTTTTTATAAATATAGACTTTGTAGTTGACTTTTAATAAACATCGAAAAAATGAAAAACTTAATTAGTAATGAGTATAGAGTATTCATCATCACTCACTAATAACTATTGTTTGATAGCATGTTCGAGATTGAGGCGAGCTTTCCACAGGATTATATGTTAGAAATTCAAGTGTGGGATTATGATGTCACGACGGCAGATGATTTGATTGGCGTGACGAGAATCGACATCGAAAATCGTTTTTATAGCCGGCACCGAGCGCACTGCGGAATTTCAAACGTTTACAGCGCCAGTGGTTACAACGCTTGGAGGGACCGCGAGAGACCGACGCAGATTCTGGAGCTTCTCTGCAGGAAGAACAATCTGCCATCACCGGAATACGGAGAACGCGAGATTAAGATCGGCAAGAAGTCATTTCCCTTTCACATCGTAATCGAACGAGAAGACGACGTAAGTACGTAACATTTCCATCCTCTCGGCTGAGGATTATTATCGTAATTGTTACGTAATAGCAAAATTTATATTCTGATTAAATGCTAGGTCAATTGTAGTTTACAATTCAAGTAGGATGAATGTAAGACTTTATATTCATATTTATTATTTGAAATACTTTTCGGATTAAATTAAAGATAAACTTGATTATAAAGAATAATATTAAACAATTGATATTACAATTAATGTTAAAAAAGTAATTTTATATTAAATTATTAGATGCTTGCTTTATAAATAATAAATATGAAATATAAATTATTATTGTCCGTATTGTTGTTTATATACTAAGAATACAATAAACGCAATAGTCTTTTTAGTCATGTTTTGATCATTCTTCTTGACTTTCAAAAATCAAAATTTTTGTGTAATATAATAATGGATATAATTATTTCGTTTCTCAATTGAACATTTAATTATTAAAATTATTTAAATATGTAATTATTTCTCAGGTTATTCGTGAAATATATTAGAGAGAATTTTCATAAACCTTTTTTTTTATTCAACATACAACTCCGATATAAGATTCTATTTTTATTAATGTAAAACACGTGTCCATATGATTCTCTGTTAGGAATTAATTATCGAATCGCAAAAGGCAAAGCTGAATTTGCCTCAAGACAGTTCAGATTTCTCAGTTGAATCGCAATTACGAACGTGACGTTACGAATGTTGAATTAATTCTCAAGCCCCACTTATTAAATCGTATCACGTCTCTGCTCCTTTATCAGAAACTATGCAGGATAATACAGGATTTCGTCGAAGATTCGTCTAATCATCATTAAAAATAATTATTATACAAAATCTTTTATCTTTAAATGTTAAATAATATTTGTATCGCTTACCCCCTCCAATGTCCAAAAGAATAATTAAGGGATATTTAAATAAAACAAAAATTTTGCTTCAAAATACTTTCAAAATGGAAACTAATTTTCTCATTCGATTACATCAATGAATACACGTTTCGAATGTTTTTTACGCACACAATTAAAGAGTTCATTAAAAAATTTAAGTTAAATAAATAATCAACGTCGCGCGTCAATGTCGACAGACAGGGAGGAATGTATGGCTCTAAGCGTGCTTCATCACTGGCAAGATTTTCCTATCTGCGGATGCGCTCTGGTACCTGAGCACGTCGAAAGACGACCACTTTTCAACGTTAAGAGGCCCGGACTCGAGCAGGTGGTTGCATGAAATATTAGCCGAGAAAAACTAACTTTGTTCGTTAGAAAACGTGATCGTCAAACATTCGTCGTATTATCGAAAGAAAAGTTTTCTTTATCTCTTGATCACTTGTGCATACTTTATCAAATGAATTATATTTTTTTCTGATCAAATTAAAAAGCATCATAAAACACTTTCCCCTATAAATATAATTTTTCATTGTTATTATTGACATATGTAGCGTTTAGTATTTGGATTAAATACTAAATAATGACATAATATTGTAGTATATTCTAGAGATTAATTAAAACTGAAAATCTAGATATAGAAAAGGATACAATAGTTTTCGAATCATAAGCGATCAAAATTGATTCGTTATTTTTTAAGAGAGATTTGCGTTGAATATAATATGCAATTGATTTTTAAAATTTAATTTACAGCTTTTACTACTAAATAGAGTATTCGTATTTCTTAAATTTTTATGTATAAGTACTATATTACAGTAATTAAACATATTAACAATCTGATCTAACAGAAAATCTTATTTTTTATAAGCAAATTATTTATTTTTTTAACAATTTAAATTATTAATTTACTTTACTTAAGAAATTATGTAAAAGAGGTTATTAATTATTTAAGAACATTTATTTTTAATGTAAATATTAAAATTTATTTTTGTTTTATAATAGAAAAATTTTAAAAATTTACTTATAAGACTAGTCAATATTTGGGAAAAATTATATTTAAAAAAGAAACATTGCCATATAAGCAATTGTTACAAAATTAATAAAAATTTAATAAAAAGGATTATTAGATACCTGTAGATTTGTTTTACTGACTAACGTCTTTTCTGACTTGTTTTTAAAGAATAAATAATAGATTTTATTTTTTAATAATTTATAAAACTTGCAACTTTTCTAAATTTTCAAAAATTTTTAAATTTTTATTATTTAACAAATCTGTATATCAAGTAAATGTACAAATAAATATATAATGAATAAGAGAAATAAATAACATCTTATTCATTTCTCTTATTTATTTTATTCATCTTTATTGTCCAACAATTTCCCGAATTTTCTAGTTTTTCTCGTTCCTTTTTTACTATTCATTTTTATGTCATTTATATAATATTTATTTGTAAAAGCTTGCTTGTAAAAGCTTACTTGTAAATAATTAATTATACAGGATTTTTCAGAAATGTGGAGATTTTGTGGAGATTTTCAAAAATATGGAAATATTTTTAAAAATAAATATTTTTGAGAAAAAATGTCATATAAAAGTTGGAAGACTTTGAGGATATCGTAATTGTGATATTAATTCATTCACAGATGACTGTTGAGATTTTTTATGGTTACCAATTTTTTAAATGGAATCAAATATCTTTGTTACATAACATGATTTTTTTTCTAGTTCTGAATATAAAAGTAGTAATACATGTAAAGTATTGATATACATATAAAGTATACATACAATATATAATCATCAAAAAGTCATCAGTAGTTTACGAAATATTTTATATGGCATATTCTGATCCATAAAATATACAATATTTAAAAAGTATTGACTTTTATGTGTACAGTAATAAAATAAATCAATTGATGTGAAAAGATAGTTGTTTAAATAGTTGTTTAAAAAAAATTATTCAATTAGCAATATGCAAATATTTTTTTAAAAAGCAACTGTACGCTTTCTCGATACTAATCGATTGTTTTATTTTATATACAAAAGTATTAAAATACGTATCAAAAAAATAAATAATTTAGTGAATATTTTATATTTTATTAGAACATGTCAGAATAAAGTATAAAATACTTCGTAAATTATTGACTTCTTGACATTTGTATCTTAATATTTTTAAGAGTAAGAGTAAGAGAGTCAGAATAAGTAGAAGAATCGTATTATGCAATAAAATATATGATTTAAAAAATAATAACTATAAAAAAATATCGACAATGATATTATCTGCGACTAAATCAATATTATGTGACCTCATGTGACCTCAACGAAACTCTGCAACTTTTGTATAAAGCATTTCTTCGGAAATAATTTCCCGAAATATTAAAAAGTTTTCACACTTTTGATAAGCCTTGTATAATTTATCATATATTTATTAATAGATTAATATTGAACAAAAAATTTTAATAAATTAATATCAAAGTTATGCTATGCCATTAACAAATAATAAAATAAAAATTACAATTAACTATTCATTACAATTATTTATCAATTAATCATAATCA